CTTTTCTCCACACCTTGCCCTATTTCATTGCAAAATGTCTCTCCATTTTATAGAAGCCTGGGATAGAAATCTGAGGTCAGAGTAAAGCTAACTTAAGGAAGAAAAAAGGTGCCATGTTAAAACATGTTACTGCAGCTTTTTTGATCAGTGTGACATATCCCCCAAAAACAAATTAACTATTTACCTTTTGCTTCTGGGCCCAGCCTCCGATTTTTCACTAGGTGGCCAGATCATTTTTGCTATTTTTTTATACTTTTTTTTGCTATTTTTTAGTCAGAGCTTAGTAAAAGATACCACCCCCCTTCCCTCCAAAACCATATATTTTCTGAAAGCACAGGACTTTAAACATGGTGCTATTGATTTTGTACCTTATTATGGAAATGCCCAAAAAGCACATGAAAACACGCATACAGCATCGCCTAACAACAAAAGCATGAAAAAAAAGGAAGGTCACAGGTGTGAAACCAATGTGAAAGTAGAAAAAAAATACTTTTCTTATGTAACCCCCCTTTGCCTCTTCTTACATCTAAATAAATCTTATTAATTCTTCCCTCTCCCTGCTTGTCTTAGCTCATTTTTCATTTGCCATTTTTTTTTTAAATATATTGTTTAAACAAAATGTGTGTTTTCTTTATTTTTTTTGGTTCAATTATTTGCTATGGTGAATAAATGATAAATGGGACAAATAACAAAAAAAAAGGTATGTTAACACTATGGTATATATATCTATCTATATATATATATACCTATCTATATCTATATATATATAGATATATATTTATTTATTTTTTACATACACACATAGTTTGCCTAGCCATTCGCCCTTCAAATCTCTGCCAACGTTTGTTCTGTATGAAAAAAAAACCAAAACAAAACAAATGTCCTTTATATATTTTCTTTCCAGGTTGAATGTAGCATGTAACATTTGAAAAATGGCCACTAGATGGAGTTGAGGAGCATGGGCAATAAATACTTCTTTCCTACAATCCTCCACTCTATCTAGTGACCATATTGCGGTATTTACCTGAAATTACATTCTATCTGGAAAAAAAAAGCCTTGGTTGTCCCGAAGAAAAAAAAATACACGCCTCAAGTTACTGTTTACTAAAAAAATAGCTGAAATGTATAAATGGCTCAGTAGCTTTTAACTAGTTCAAGAAGGGGAAAAAAAACAACTTATAGCATGTGGAGATTTAAAGGACATGTTCATATTTAATTTGAAGCTTGTTAGAGCAGGGTTCTTAATCTAAGCCTACCTAAAATGCCACTACAACCACTACCACCACCCAGGTCCTGTCTTACCCTCTCTCCCTGACAGCTGATGCCTCTTCCAGTGTTTACATCCCCTGGCCTGAAATTTTCTCTGTAGCTTGCCATGCCTGCACAGTTACTCCCCCTAGACTTGAGTGGGGCCATGCACATACACTTGGCACGCTAGGTGTACAAAACCTAATTACTAGACTAGAGCGAGTAACTGTGTAGGCATGTCCAGTGCCAGAGTATATTTCAGGCCTGGAGCATGTAAAGAGGCCGGAGCATGTAAAGACCAGAGGAGGCAGCTGCTCTCGTAGAGCAGTAAATAGGCATTTCGGGGGGTAGTTTTAAGGGGTGAGAAACCTTACCCCTTAAAAACACATGCACATGTTATAACTAACTGCACACACTTTGTATATACACCTTTGACACTTGACCTGTTGTAATATCCAAGGCCCCCAGTACTGAATTTTAGCCCGTCATCTGATTGAGCACTCCCTGCTGCCTAATATGGAATTTCAGCATATGGAGGACCCACTTTAGTTTTAGCCCTGGATCCCATTTCCATAAAAACAGTCCCATGACCAATGACCAGTTCACTTTTGCTCTTGTCCCTTTATATGTATTATTAGAAATATTAGGAAATGCGGTCACAATGACATGCTTACAGTAATTACAATCTGATTACAACTATTTAGGAGTAGCGGGCATTTGCATTTACTGCTGGCTAACTGGAATTTGAGAATGATAGCATTACATTTTAAATCAATTTACATTGCAACATCTCCCAAGAAATTGATCATTAAAAGGACTTTAAAAGAGGTTAAAAGCTATCCGGAGATGAGGAACATAAGAGATTGGATGTCCTCCTAGTTGTAAATATCGCTTCCAGATGGTGCACTGTGACAATTTTTCGATGAAGTATTTTTAGATGACAGTGAAACAGAAATGAATGACAGCACTGAACAATATACAGGTAGGTGGTCTGGTAAACAATCAAGCAAAATTGGTCTAGCTTACTAATGGTGAGCAAGAAACAAACCTGATTTAGTGAAGAATGTGAAATAGAAACATTTCAGTACACACGATCTGGTTAGGGCTGGATTTAGACAAAACGAGACCCTGAACAAAAATGGAAATATGCTGAACCAATATACTAGGTGTGTTGTTGGTGGTAGTAGTTGCAGGGGGGTTGCCACAGAAGGAAAGGGTGAAAAGCAAATATAAAAGTTGAGTGTAATGAGCGTACGGTCAATTGTAGACAAAGGGAAACGCGGGTATGTTTTTAAGGGATTTGGATAAATAGTGATACATTTTTTTAGCCTTTAGGCTGGGTTCCCACCTGGGCGTACCATAGGCGCGTTTTTTATGCTCGTTTTTTAGCACGTTTTTTCGTTCAGTGAAACGAGCGTTCGACACTCGTTTTTATCCCTCCCTGGCGGTATGATTTTTTTTTCCCTTTATTTTCTCTATCTTTTTTTCGGGTTTTTTTTAAAAAAACGTTCATTCTTCCCGCCAATTCAGCCCCCCTGCGACGCGGCCACTCGCCAGGGACGGAACCCGGAAGTCGGCAGCGGCCGGAGGACACAGCGGGTATCGCGGTCAAGGTAAGTCCTATGCTGTATTCCCGAGTATGGCATTGGGAATACCAATGGATACGCGCAGAAAAACGCCCCAAAGAAGCTCCTGTACTTGTTTGGGCGTAGGGCGTTTTTAAGCGCGTTTCCACGGGCTGAAACACGCCCAGGTGGGAACCATGCCCATAGGGATTCATGGGATTTCACTTGCTAAGCGTTTTTCAGCGCTTCGATCAGCGCTGAAAAACGCCCAGGTGTGAACCCAGCCTTAGAGTACGTACCAGCAGCATAACAACCTACCAAACTTAAGTAGAACATAGTAGTTTAGCACATGTGCTGTACGTCAACATGAGAAAATACTCTATTGGATGAAAAAGCTACAGTATGTACAGTAGAAGCCAACCCTTCTCATCACCACAAGAACAACATCCTTACTGTGAAGCATGGTGGTGGTAGCCTCATGTTGTGGGAATGTGAGAGCTGTAATATGAGGACCTACCATAACATCCAGTCACTCTGTAAATAATTACAGAGGCCCTTTCACTGCATAGTTTTGTGCAGACCTAAATAAGATTGTAATTTGTGTGTTGAGGTTAAATGTTAATTTGCATGAAATACCCATGGAGTACCTATTGATTGCTAAACAGATGGAACAAATGTATTTCTCTGTAGTAAGCTACACAAGTAGCATATATCAGAAATCAATATTTGATGATCACACAATGCTCCGATCATGTGCGACAGATCGCTACTAGTGATGAGCTTGGTGTTAACTGGCATGAGTTTGCCCAAGCCTGCACAAAACTGTGACCAACACAACCCCCTCCCGATCCAATCAGTTGCAATAGGCACATTCTAGCCCCACAGCTACACAACACAAAGGAGTGAGGAACACCCCTTCTGCAACTAATTGGATCAGGAAGGGGTTGTTTTTATCGCAGTTTTGCGTGGGCTTTGGCGGACTCATGCAAACAGGGTTCACACCAAGCCTCAGCTCATCACTGATGTGCTACAAGATGCTATTTCTTGCTACTTGTGTAGCTTACCCCAGAGGAAGCCACATGTTAAATTTTTTTAGCACTACATTGCTACTCTAGCATTGAATTGCTGGTACATTTAGTAGCTTGATTGAGCTACTAAAAGTCTCCCGTGTTGGTCTTGCCTTATAAGGCGACTGCAAGCAAGTTGGCAAATCTCTAAACAGATCAAAATTGCATGTGTAGCCCTATATGATCTTCAGCTTTCTTAAACATTTTTAAAAAACACCCTTCCTGTGATAAGTAAATATATTCATTTTAGTATACATTAAAGCAGATTCCTACCTGCATCTGTTCTAGAGATCTTACAAATACTAACATTTTCAAAAGAAAGTCAGTAATGGCAGTTTCCCATTACAGGTTCACTTATTTTAGGACAGCATAACCTTTTCAAGTGGACAAGGGGATGCAAAGAATTAAAATATGGTCTTGTAAAACTCAACATCACCCTTTGGACTATGAATGTACCACCTACACTGAGTGGCCAGATTATTATGACCACCTGACGTTTGTAGGCAAATTAGCTATAATTTTGTGCTGAAGTTGCTAGAGGGCCAGACCGTTATAAATAGGGAAGCAGGTTGTTTACCACGACAGGAGAAGTTTTTTTTTTTTTGAAGATACGGGTAAACAACGCGATTTAACAGCTTTTGAACGTGGGATGATTGTTGGTGCTCGGAGTCACGGAGCGAGTATCAGCAAAACAGCATAATTCGTTAAATGTTCAAGAGGGGCTCATTGTTAAAGTGTTTAAAGAACGGACTGTCAGCCAAAAATTTGGGTCTGAACTTGCAAATTGTGGCCGTCAGCGACTAGTCAATGTTAGGGCAGAACGGAGAGTGGCAAGACTGGTACAAGACAACAGAAGGGCAACAGTGCAGTGTCAGATTCCTCGCATCACCTTTCAACATCTCGTGGAGTCACGAGGCGGCCCAACTAAGTCATCTCGTGGAGTCATCTTGTGGCCCAACGAAGTACTGATGGTGTGGTCATAATAATCTGGCCACTCAGTGTATGTAGCAAAGCCATAATAAAGACGTAAAGCACATTTTATTCTAAGTAATCATAGATGGGATCTGAAAATAACATTCGCGACAGAGAGAAAATGTATCTTTTATTTATTTGTATTTACAAATGTCAAATTTTCACAAACTGCCAAAACAAAGTGCAGCATTGGTTCCACCAAAACCAAATGAATTGCTCAGTGCTACACGTCTCTTCCCACACTTCCACTGCTGGGCTTTAAGAGGGATATAATTGAGGTCAAACTCTGGTTCTGTCCTATCAAGGTTCAGAGTGGGTGGTAAAATTCCATGATAACAAGACAGAACCGTAAAAGCTGCTTCAATAGCACCTGCCGCACCCAACAAATGACCGGTAGCACCTTTGGTTGCAGACACTGCCATTGAATATGCATGGTCTCCAAAAAGTCTCTTGATAGCTCTATTTTCAGCTGCATCCCCAAGAGGAGTAGAGGTGGCATGCGCATTAATGTAGGATATATCTTCGGTATGTAATCCTGAATCCGCAATGGCTGCTTTCATGCACCTAAGAAAAGAAAAAAGTATAAGGACAGGGATTCCTAAGACAAAATCACATTTTCCAGTCTGTGCTGTAAAATTGACTTCAAAGTAGTTTTTTTATGTTTATTTTTCTGTGCCGTATTTTCAAGATCATATTACACAAGATTTGTGTGTAGCTTGGCAAGTGCAATCAGTATCCTAGATGAACAATCTAATTAAAAAAACACATGTATTCTAAGTGATTGTTCTGCCCAAGGGCTCAATGCAGTCTATTGGTACCTTTGTTAAAGCAGTACTAAACTGCAAAACTAAAACTGATCGTTCGGACCCCCAGGTGGCGTTTGCCATAATGTACCAGTATGCACAGCATAGTAGCACATTATGGCTGACTTACCTTGCAGATGATCCCCTCCAGCGCTGAGATGTCAGTGCTCCCTGCCACCTTCTGGATTTCCATGTTCTCCCAATCTTCTTCTGGGTTCGGCATCCCTGATCTCTTAATTGGCTGGGATGATGTAACTACCATGCATACGCTTAGGATCTTGCTTGGCTTGTGCACTGATCTGCTCAGTGCACACAAACACTGGCAGACAGGGAGGCAGCATTTATGACAGAAGAGAAACACTGTGGAGGGGGATTTATCAAAACTGGAGCAGACAAAATCTGGAGCAGCTGTGCATGGCAACCAATCAGCTTCTATCTTCAGTTTGTTCAGTTAAGATTTGAAAATGAAAGAGAAAAGCTGATTGGTTGCCATGCACAGCTGCTCCAGATTTTGTCTGCTCCAGTTTTGATCAATTCCCCTCAGAGTCTCTTCTGTCATAAAAACCCTACATGTCAGGTTTTTTTTTAAGCTTTCCTTCGCTTTAAAGGATATGTGCACTTTAAAACAAAGTGCACTTTTCCCTTCGGCCCCTTTACCTAACCTAGCCCACCCTCCCACTCCACAGACTTCCTTCAATCCAACGGCTACTGCCTTTGGTATTTGTTTTCATATCCAGTACCACAAGTCTCACTGTCCTGGCTTTGTCCATGCAGTACAACCTTATAGACTTGTATGGTGCTGTGTCCTGAAGCCGGAGATGAAGGCAGATGGCCCTGCAGAAGTGCATGGCACTGTAATACACAGAAGCAGCCAGGACTAAAACAAAAACTGGAGGCCATGGCCGTTGAAGAAAGGTAAGTATGCATCTGTGGCGGAAAAGGGTGGGTTAGGATTGGTCAAGGTAAATGGGTATGTGCACTTAAGCTGGCCATACACCTATAGATTTTCTGCAGATTTTCTATGGTCAGATGGAAAAAGTGCAACAGATTCCTCCGTCTACGCTCAACTGTGTGGATGGAGAAATCTCCCGCCGGGCCAAGCTTCAGTATCTTGTTAGTCGGCTCCGCTGGCTCTCAAAATACCTGAACAATGCCTGCATCCAATCAGATTGTTCAGGTATTTTGACAGCCAGCAGGGCCAACTAGCAAGATAATGAAGCTTGGCCCAGTGGGAGATTTCTCCATCCACACAGTTTAGCGTAGATGGAGGAATCCGTTACACTTTTTCCATCTGACCATAAAAAAATCTGCAGATAATCTATAGGTGTATGGCCAGCTTCTTTAAATCCATCAACCATAGATTCAATAGGATGTACAGATGAACTATCAGACAGACCTTTATTCCGATCACATACACACCATCTCCATAACCATTGTTTGATTTATGAAACTGTAGATAATGATTCTAATGATCAAAGACTGATCTTTGCAGATCCACACATGAAACCTGTAAAAGATAGGCTTGGGCCTGCAGTAAAAGAAACACATAACAAGGACTTTCAGAAGTAGCCGTCCTTTCAATAAAACCACAGCAGCTAGATGTTTTCATTATCCTGAAAGCTTCGATTCCTGGACTATTCTCTGCATTATAGATTTATTCCTGGGTGAAAGATTACAATCTTTTCCAAGAAATTGCAGCTTTTTTTGATAACTGCATTTTGTATTCTGCTGCGGTTCAGAGGGAAGGCTCTGTTAAACATAAAAAGAAACAGAGCCAATTAAAACACCGCAGAAGAAACTTAAGAAGGTGAATGAAAGTTTTGTTTCCATGGAAACAGATGATATTTGTATGCAGTGGCCAACATGCAAGACTAAGCTATTGAATATGGATTCCACCAAGACTACAGGGTATAAGGAAGAACATGATCCCAGGTAACCAAAGTAGGTGGAACTTAGTGCTCTGTAGCTGAAACCATGAAAGGACTTTGAGCTCTTTTCTGCAAGCCATTGTCACATTTAAAGTGATATTAAACCCCAATTTACAAAAAAAAAAATCATATAACATAGTGCAGTAGACCCCAGCACTTAGCTTGTTTGCATGTCTGGTTTTCTTTTAAAGCCACATTCAGGGAAAAACTATTTCCCTACCATCCCTCCCACCCACCTCTAACCTTCCATGCCAAGTGTTTAGCTTTTTCTTACCTGCTGAAGCAAATTATACTCACCCACATAGTCCGCCCATCCAGGTCCCTTGCCGATGCCATTTCCACTGTTAGGGGCTCTAATCCAGTGCCGCAGAGTCACCAGTCCCCTTCGGCTGACAACAGTAGTAAGGGTCGACTGATACCATTTTTGCAGAACCAATACCGATTATGGGCCACCTTTCAGGCCAATATCAGGTGCCATTATTACATATATCTATGTGTTCATTTGCTGGCTGCAAAAATCCGCAGCTGGCAGCTGATTGCAAAATGCAAACAGCAGGCATGAGGTAGGTGCAACAGCCAGCTTGCTATTGCAATCTGAAATAGCCAATAGCAGGCTGTCTATTGCTCCCGCCCACTTCCTGCTGTTTACATTCAGCTGCAGAATCTAGTCGCCGACAGATGAATGGGTCCACGGGTGTGTGTGTGGGGTGGTGGGGTTTGTGGGCACACTAGAGGCACTGGATGTGGGGGCACTCTGGAACCACTGGAAGGTTGTGGGTGGCATACTGGAGGCACTGGATGTTCGGGGAGACACTGAAGGTACTGGTTGTGGGAGGCACTGAACGCTGCTGCAGGGCGCCTACCAATGGACCGATACCAATTATTAAAACATTTGTGAAGTCCGCTTTGTGCCATTGGGTGGCACCGCAGGTGTACGGAAGTTGCATCCTCCCCGGCACCCGCTGAGATGCTGCATGGTGCATGTGCTGTACAGTGTACACGGAAAAACAAAAAATCGCTAGGGGAGAGGGGAAAAACGTTTTTGGGCAGAAGAGACATGCATGAGGTTTTAAATTCAATATAACAAGTAAACAGTTTAGGGATTAATACCGTGTCAATCAAATCTATACTTCAAATCAAAAGTATGGCTCAGGGCCCATTCACACCACATCCAGATTACCTCCAGACCAGACTGTATCCCAAAGTATGGCTTATTTTAAAATGATATGCATAGATAAAAATAGGTGTTTTGCTTGTAAGGAAGGAAAAGGAGGAACCAGGGAGGCAAAATATATGCAGATTGAACTTCAGCTTTAACCACGGCCAAAAACTGAGATGACAGACTGCTAATAGCTGTTAATTTCAAGCTTCAATAAACTAAAGACTAATGCATAGAACGTTTACCTGTATGCACCATCACCCTCTGAACTAGGAGCAGTTATGTGACAAGCATCTCCTGACAGTCCATAGCCCAAAACTTCAGCGTAGATTTTAGCATTCCTTGCCAGTGCGTGCCGATATTCTTCTAGCACCAGCACAGCAGCTCCCTCTCCCATGACAAATCCTTCTCTTTCAGGATGGAAAGGTCGACAAGCTTTGTGAGGAGATGCATTGAAGCTGGTACTCAGCGCTCGAGCCCTCGCAAATCCAGCAAGTGACAACGGGCTAATGCAGGACTCTGTTCCACCAGCCACCATAACATCAGCATCCCCATGGGTGATAAATCGAAAGGAGTCTCCAATAGCATGAGCCCCTGTAGTGCAAGCGGTGGATACGGCATGATTTGGTCCTTTAAGTTTATATTTAATACTGATGTGCCCAGCAGCCATATTGATTAGTATCCTCGGGACAAAAAAAGGGCTGACTTTGTTATATCCTTTTGTTTGAAACAGCATGGCAGTCTCTGTGATGTCATCGAGAGGCACCATTCCCATGCCTATCGCCACCCCAGCGGTCTCTTGTTCCTCTTCAGACTTTGGGCTCCAGTTTGCGTCGATGATTGCCTGCTCTGCGGCTGCTAAGGCCATAATCGTAGCAGATGACATTGCCTTAATATCTGACTTCGAAACATATTTCTCTTCACTAAAATCCCCGTCTGCATGACCTCTAGGTACACGAGCAGCTACTCTACAGGGGATAGTTTTATATTCATCCCCTTGAAGAGCGACTATTCCATTTGCTCCTAGTATGAGTCGATCCCATGCCAGCTGTGTGCCAACACCAAGAGGGGACACTATTCCAATACCTGTCACAACAACGCGGCGGTCAGACTTTCTTGATGTAGCATTACTCAGACCTCTTTTCTCCAAATAAACACATCTATAAGTGTTACGTAGTAAAGAGTAACATTGGCAGGTTCTTACTATGCTTCTCAGAGGAGGAGCCATGAGTAGTCTCGAAGCTTACACCTATGCCTGAAAAAAAAAGAAAACAATTACATAGGAAATAGAGTCTGTGAAGGTTCTCATTCATCCAGGTCATGGTATATCTGTGAAGACAACTGGATTTTTCTTGAAGACGTTTCACTGGTCATCCAACCAGCTTTCTCAATTCAGAATTGAAGTTCTGAATTGTCCATTCTGAATTGAGAAATCTGGTTGGATGACCAGTGAAAGGTCTTCAAGAAAAATACAGCAAGTCCAGTTGCCTTGAATTTTTTTTTTTTTACAGATATAGGAAATAGTATCTATCTATCTAGATATATCTAGATTTATCTAGATATATATATATATATATCTAGATATATCTAGATATATATAGTATCTATACAATACTGGTAGAGAAAAAAGTTATCATAAGAACAAGTTAATGGTGAATTTAAAGCAAAGGGATACTAAGGCTGGGTACACGGGTGATTTTTGTGATGGCGGTTGTCACCAGTGATCTCCCCGTCGGTAATCAGTAGTGATTGTTATACTTGCATGTGTATATGGTAGCGATCAATCACCCAAATTTGGAGCCTTGTGCTACTATAGTGATCAATGGCTACAACATGCTACAATCCATCGTTGCCTATGTGTAGCAATCACTAGCCATTAATCATGAAGTGATCACAAGCGCTATAGGACATTTCACCTTTGTGTGCCCAGCCATAACAAGCTAATATATAAAGGATCTTAATACCATTCAAGCATGAATATGTACAGGGCTTGAAAAATCCGCTCGTACTCTCGTCTGTGACGAGAGGACGCCGGAGCCCGATGAGTAGCTTCCTAGCCGGCTGTTGTAATTAAATGGCCGGCCGGGAGCTTTACATTCAAGCGATCAGGCGTCTCTAGAGACACCCTGTAGCTTGTATTAGCAGCAGCTGTCACTGCCGTTGCCGAAACAAGATCTGCTGTGCCCGATGCGGCCGGGACCGGCACGGCTGCCCTGTGACAGGAGGTCAAAGAGAGCTCGGTACACAATCTCCCTCTGATCTCCGCTCCAGTCCCCGAATGCAGGAAGTGATGTATATTACATCACTTCCTGCATTCTGCTGTCACTCTCCAGCTTCAGAAGCTGGGTGGAAGCTGGTGAAGAAGATCTCTGCTTCGTCAGCTTCTCTGGGGGTCCCTAGGTGACATTAGGGGTCCCCTGATGTCTCCATAAAGAGGACCTGTCATGTAAATTGGCTATCACATAGGGGGGGTCCCCGGATGTCTCCATAAAGAGGTCCTGTCATGTAAATTGGCTATCACATAGGGGGCTTCTTAGCCCCCCCCCCATGTGATAGTCCCCTGCCCCCCAAATACACACACAAACATGTGTCAGGTGCGCCTAGGTGAAAAGAAAGCTCTATCTGTCTCTAAAAAATGTTAACATAAATTGCAAGACTATAGTCCGGTCATGCTGACTGGTGACATTTTTGACTGACTGGTGAGACACCCTAAAATGTTTCCACCCTGAATATGTAAGTGCTCTAAGTTATTATTATTATTAGCATCTTATTTATCATCAACTGGGTACACACACACAGATTTTATCATTTCCATTCAGCCTGCGAGGCTGAGCAAAAACAAATTTGACAGACTCCACCATCTACACTAAGCGTGGATGAACGAATCTCCCTCTGTGTAATTTGTATACTGACAGCAGTGCCCAGCCACTGTCGGAATACCTGAACAGTGATCAAAGCTGATTGGCCGCAAGCACTGTTCAGCTGACAATTTTCCAGCAGATTCAATCCAAGATAGGACCACCCATGGATAGAATTTTGGAGGATTCATGCTGAATCAGCTAAAAGCCACCTTTAGTATACAGGGGTATCCTGATTTATTCATTTTAAATAGTTTTTCTGTAAAAAAGGGGGGGGGGGGAGCAGTGCAACACAAGTTCCCTTATGTATGCATGTTTGTCTAAATTAAAGCCCAACTCTGAGCAGAAGACAAAAACAACAAAAAACCCTTGCAGTGGGCCCCCTCCTTGATGCTCAGAATGCATACCAGTACCTCTTAAAGAAGAACTCCAGGAACAAAACAAACCTACCCTTGCAGTGTTTACCCTGCACTGTAAGGGTTAAGTACTCATTTGGTCTAGGGGGGCTCAAATAAAGCTGTGTCACTCACCTGATCCTCAGTCCCGCAGCGGTTAGTGCTCACCTCTCCCCCTCCTCCACTCTGGCTATGCTATGGAATGTCTAGCTCTCTGACTATGCTATAAAGCAGCGATGGCGAACGTTTTTGAACCCGAGTGCCCAAACTGCGACGCAAAATCAATTTATTTATCTCAAAGTGCCAACACTGAAAATAAGTTTGGTATTGTGTTTTAGTGTGGGCGCTGGGGTTTAAAAAACTTTCAGCAACACTGTACTAAGCAAAATAGGGAAACACACATATTCAAACATTTATTACACTCAATAAAACCCACACACATCAAACACGGAATGAAACCCACACATCACACACTCATTAAAAAACGCACACACACACCACTCACATAATGAAACCAACACATCACACACTCATTAAAAAACACACACAGACCACTCATTAAAAAGCAAAACACACACACACATCACACACACGGCTGCAACTAATAATTATTTTCATAATCGATTAGTTGGACGATTATTTTTCGATTAATCAGATAAAAATAAATAGCATCCTTAATTTAAAATAAAATAGACCAATGCAGTGTTACAAACATAAAGTTTACTTCAGAATAAAACAGAATGCGCAATTTTTAGCAATCACACTGCACTGGGACGCACAACATTGCGGTACCGTGCTTTCCAGTGCGGGCCATCACAATGTGGTGGGAGGCGTGTTTGGGGTGCCATTGAAATTAATGGCATTGCAACGCACCTCCTGCAGCAGGACAACAAATCGATTATGAAAAGAATCGTTAGTTGCAACCTTAGCAATTACAAATTGAAATAGCCATAGTAGGCTTGCTAATGCACCCGCCCACTGCGTCCTCCACCCAGCATGGAGGAGAGAGCTAGGGGATCCAACCAACTAATCGATATGGGAGAATAGTTGACAACTATTCTTATTATCAATTATTGGGTAATCGATTAGCTGGTTGCCTGGTTGCAGCCCTAATTACACACTCAAAAAAAACACACACTTAACCTCCCTGGCTGTCTGATTTTTCCCAATATTTTTTGCTTTTTTTACATTTCTTGCTGGTTCCGCCCCCCTGCGAGGCGGCCGCTCGCAAGGAACGGAACCCAAAGGCTGGCATCGGCCGGAGGACACAGCGCGGCTTGTAGGGAGGTTACTCGGGGTTACCACTTTTGGTACTGAAAATTAACCCCCGAGCCACACTCGGGAATACTGTCAAGGTTAATACATCCACAATCGGCACAGGGACGCGAGGAGAAGACGTGGGGGGGAATGACAGCCGCTGATAGAGAGGCCCGATTTCAGAAGTTGCTGGAAGACTGCTCGGGTAAGCCTGCACTTCCCCACACATGGTGCTTTATAATGTATTGCTGGAGTTTGTATTCCTCTATAGCTGATGGTACATTGTGCTGTTTATTATACCATCAGCTATAAAGGAATACAAATCCCAGCAATACATTATACAACGTATGTATAATGTATTGCTGGGATTTGTATGTATTCCTATATTGAGGACCACAAATCCCAGCAATAATACATTATACAGCCCAATGCGGAATACCACCAGATAAAGAGGAGCAGGGATAAGGTAAGGTCCCTTACCCTGGACACAGAAGGAGCAGTTTTGTCCAAGATACGTCAATAAACATTCCATGTCAGGCAATCAGGGACAGAACTGCTAAGCACTACACTCCCCATCATGTATACACTTCTAGTATTTACAACTTTAGGATCACCATGACCACGGTCAGAATGAGTGAACAGCGCTGGGTGTACAGAACACAATCAGCGAGTACCTGAGACATGCTGATGACGACGGTCTTCCGGCTTTCTGTCGTCACTTCCGCTACTGCGCTTTGGTCGGTTCGGCTCTTCCTGATCTCAGCCAGCTGTAGAAGTCATGATGGCTGCTGCTGCTTCTTCTTCTTCCTCCTCCGCTGTCTCTGAGCTGTGCCAGAATAGAGGGAAGGTCTTCATGGATGCCTCCCAGCTCCTCCTCACATATGCGGACAATATACTGAGGTGAGCCGGGCTGGGTGCTCTCCGTCACATTGGGCGGTTGCAGGGGGTTATGTGTGGTGACCCGGAGGGTGTATCATTAATGTCTCATGGCGGCTCAGTGTAATAATACTATACGGAGTGTCCGCAGGCGAATGATAAGTCCTCTATACGGCGGACACTGAATGCAGCTCAACATATATTGTGTGCTGTACAGACCCCTTCTCCTCTACAGCATGGGACATCACAGATCTCATAGAGGGGAATGGGGGACATCCCACACTCACCCTAGAGGAGAACGGGGACCATTCCGTACCCCACAGAGAGGGGGAGAACGGGTGGGCCATCCCGCGCCCCGAAGGGAGAGCGGGTGGGCCATCCCGCTTCCCCGCAGGGAGGGGAGAGCGGGTGGGCCATCCCGCTTCCCCGCAGGGAGGGGAGAATCGGGGGAACAACATCATAAGCTAATGTTAGTAACTATACCTCAATAATTTTTATATTCGCGCACAATGGCGCCACAATATGTTGTAATGAAGATCTGTCATCATGAATGGGTTCCTGGATGTTTTCTGAGATCTAGTGATGAGCTGTAACTCTGATGGTATACAGTAAAATGAAAGTGAAAGATGCCATTTCCTTCTTCCAACTAAAGGAGCGTTGCTTAATCTTTCATTTCAGAGAAATGTGAGATGGCAGATTGGCAGCTTTACTCTACACACAGCAGTTATAGGGAAGAGAAGGGTGGATTGTGTTCCTGCTGTGATAGTCATAGCTATATGCTGACATTATGCATCAAGGAAATATACTGGGGGGTAATTCACTAAAGGTGCCCATACACCTTGCGATCATCGGATGACACTTTTCGTCCGATGATCGAACCGCCGTACGAAAAAGATTTTCGTACGGCGGACCCATCCTGCCCCGATTATCGCAAGGTTGGATCAGTAGTAATTAGAAAGCACCAGGACCAATTGCGGTATTCGACTGCACGTATTTTTGTCTGCGCATGTGCAGTGTAGATCGTACGGAAATGGCACCAACCTACGATTTATTGGACGAAAACGCGATCACATACAAAAATCAGCCGATATTTGTAAGGTGTATGGGCACCTTTGAGGTGCCCATACACCTTACAACCATCGGACGACTTTTGTTGTGCAATGGTTGTAATGTGATTAAAGTTTCGTACGATCTGCCCATCGTGGACAGGCAGATCGTACTTGCGATCATGGCAAGTCCTCCCCGCTGAGGGGAGGGCTTGCAGATGATTGCAAAGGTGAGCGGGCAGTGTGCGCTTGCACACCTCGGGTCGCGCGGCTTTCGTCTTGCAATTGCGCTACTAACCCGCTGAAAATCGTACGATTTTTGGCGGGTTTTCTAGCGTGCTCATTATACGGAAATCGTTCGACCGTACGGTAAATGCGGTCACACGCTGCCCATCAACCTGACTGTATCGTACGATAAATCGTCAGGTGTACGGGCATCTTAAAGGTGGCCATACACTTTACAACCCTCGCAGGACTGTGAGGATCTGCCTGTCCATCTTGGACAGGCAGATCGTACTTGCGATCATCACAAGCCTCAGCGGGGCGGGCTTACGATGACCGCAATGCTGAACGGGCAGTGTGCGCTTGCGCACACCGGCCCGTGCGGCATTTGTCTCCCGAGCATGCCACAAACCAGCCGAAAATCCTAGAAATCCTTCGAACATGCTCCTTAGACAAAAGACGTGCGACCGTACAGTAGAAACGGTTGCACGCCTTCCATACACTTTGCGGATTTCCCGGGATTCTCATACAATAATCGTGCAGTGTATGGGCACCTTTAGACTGGAGCAGACGGAATCTGTAATCAGCTTCTCTCTTCAGCTTGTGATACAAAAGACAAGGGAATTTATCAAAACTGGATCAGACAAAATCTGGAGCAGCTGTGCACGGCAACCAATCGGCTTCTCTTTCATTTTCAATCTTAACTGAATAGAGAAGCTGATTGCTTCTAATAGGCAACTGCTCCACATTTTGCCTGCTCCAGTTTTGATAAATTCTCCTCACTGCGCTGACCAGGAATCTGTTTGTTAATCCTCTCCTTCACTTGCAATCTCTGTTGCGACTTGCCGACTCCAGTTTCTTTCACATGATTCCCCAACGGTCATTCGTATTGATCTTGGCCTGCTCCACTTTACTTATTGGGAATGGTTACCAGTGTTCAGGAAAAATGAAAAACAGCTCTCCATAGTGTTGTTGTACTTACAAGAAATGAAATACTTCACGCTTTAAAAATCCAGCTAAAACACACTTCTCTTTATGATATGATGGGGAATCTACAGAGCTGATGCGAAAGAACCTGGAGTCAGCAAATCACAACAGAGATTGCAAGTGAAGGAGAGGATTAACAAACGGATTCCTGGTCAGCGCAGTGAGGGGAATTTATCAAAACAGCTTCTCTCTTCGGTTTGTTCAGTTAAAGGAGAACTATGAGGTGAGTGATTTTCACTCACCTCATAGTTCTAGCCGACCTGTGACAATGAGACTGTCGCAGGTCGGCTCAGTAGAATTGTCTTTTGTATCACAAGCTGAAGAGAGAAGCTGATTACTGTGCTCCAGATTCCGTCTGCTCCAGTCTAGCAAACCAATTCCTGGTCAGCCCCTAAGGCCTCATTCACACGAGAAACGGCCGGCACGTACGGCCATGCACGAAGCTGTATCGGGCAGCTCCCAGGAAGGACAGGTGCTGCGTGTGATTAGTATGCAGCCCCCGTCCTTCTCTATGGGACTACGCGGCCGCACACCGCCCTACGCTCACCCCAAGTGCAGGTCCGTACGGGTGTCCCGGCTCGGACACAGACAAGATTCATCCTGTCAGCGTACAAGTATGGACACCTGCACCCGCACTGATGTGCAGGACGGGTGAGCGTAGGGCGGCGTACGGCCCCGTTGTCCCATAGAGAAGGACAGAGGCTGCATACTAATCACACGCAGCACCTGTCCTTCCCGGGAGCTGCCCGATACGGAGCTGTACGTGCCGGACGTTTCTCGTGTGAATGAGGCCTAAAAGGGTGACTACCAACACTGGTGGGTGAGCATTTTGGAAGTTTATCGCACGGTATAAGGAGAAAAGAGCACAGACACAGTTTAACAATATTGAGTATGTGAAGGGATCGCTAGCAATCACAAGGACTTTGGACATTATATGCACATTTTGTTGCAGTTAACAACTGCGATCGATTTATATGGTGGCATTTTATGTCATTGATTTATTTAATGTAAGTTATGTAAAAAGGAATTTATTATTTAGAAGTGATCAACAGTTTTGATCCGGTCTGCACCTGCTCTGCTCTGGATCTGCTCCGCGCTTGGTGTGAACAAGCCCTAAGGCTGCGTTCACACCTGACCGTTTTGTAGGGCGTTCTACGCTCGACGAACGCTCTACAAAACGGTTAAAAATATAAATTGCATTGTAGTCAATGCCCTCGTTCCCACCTCGCCGTATTTCCGCCCGTCCCTAACGCCCTACAAAACGGCCCACGCCTGAAAAGGTCCCGGGACTACTTTGGGCCGTTTTGTAGGGCGTTTTCCATTGGGATACTGCCAAGTAGCCTTTGGAATCGCGCGACGGTCGCGCGACTTTTTTACCGCGAATCGCGGTAAAACAAAACGCGTGACGGTCGCGCATATTACAATACGCCTAGGTGTAAGGGGGGTAGAAGTGAAGGAGCACTAAGGATTCATTTGTAATTCCCAGCTCAGTGTCTTTTGTATCACAATACTAACAATAGTGGGATCGCTACTCTTTTTGACACATCAGCTTTTGATTTATTTTTTACCAGCGTAGTGCAGTGGTTTCCTTGCATATCTCTCCAACTTGTTTAGCTAGGCCCCTTTCAGACAGGCAGTCCAATCATGTCAGCCAGTCAGTTTGTCAGGCAGATCTGATTGGACGTCCAATGTTAGTCTATGCGCACCCGAATGTAAACACATGTGCATTACCCCCCCGAGTTCCGTTTTGATGGACCTGATCGGAGGTAGACCTAACATGGGTCTGGTAAATTCAGTAACCCTTGCCCCACTGCAAGGGTTAATACTAGTTTTCCCTGGAGTTCTTCTTTAACCCTTTCTGATTTGCTTAACATTTATTTTTTTTTCAGTTTCTAGTAGACATAATTAAATTGCACATTTATTTTAAAATGTATAATTATGTTGAATGTCTGGATTACTTTACTTGATGAATTATAGTTTCTCTTGTCTTTTTTTTATTTTTTTTATTGCTTTGTAAATGTTTCCCTCCAAGCGTATTTATGTTTTTCGTTTTTATCCAACAGGAGTCCAAATGAGGAAAAATACCGATCTATAAGAATTGGGAACACCGCATTTTCTACCAGGCTTTTGCCAGTCCCAGGGGCTGTAGAATGTTTATTTGAAATGGGATTTGAAGAGGTGATTTTATACTTTTTATATAAATGAAGCAGCAGAGCACACAGTTTTACTCCCTGTTCACACTTGTACGATTTGTAATACGTTAATGCACAACAAGAGGAATCCCATTACAGTACGCTCACCATTATCCAGCATCCAATTTCTGGTTGCTTGAGAGCTACTATTAAAATAGGTCTAATGCCATACCCCATACTATACCATAACATAAACTCTGTATTGACTTCATATTAATATTTAAATGCAGTTATCAAAAGCAAATTAGGACAAATAGGCCCACGATCGTTTCTAGATAATGCATGCCGCAGAACAATGAGTACACACAGATTTTCTTTTTCTGTTTAGATGAGAGTTTACTGTATTTTAGAAATATTAGCAGTATAGAAATATTTGCTGTATGTCTGGCAGACTGTAAACTTTTCTGCTGCTATAGAAAATGAGTTGTGGAGGGGAGATGAGTTGTGATTTCAGTGCCTTTGTTGTGAACTTTGAAGATATATAAAGATGAATAAATGTCACCAGCACACCACCAGTATTGCAGTCCAAAGAGTCACTTTATTGAAGCGTCATGTCACCAAAACTAGCTGAGCCTGATGAAGGGGACCCTGCGTGGCCCCGAAAGTGCTAGTTTTGGTGACATGACATTCCAATAAAACTTGTAAAAGCCATCGTAGTTAGGCTCTCCTGAATTACTAGTTATCTGGCTGTCGTGTTGACTCTCAAGCCTAACAACCAGGCACCTAGCATTTTTTTAGGCGGTCATCAACCGCTGTATAGGTCTCCGGACTGGTTTACTGTATGGTCGAGCTACAGTACCAAAGTTCACCAGCAGATGGCCCTGCAAGCAAAACTCCTAATTGCAGATCTTTGCCCAAAGCAGATCTATGAGCTGACCCAATTTTCTTGTCTGACACTATTGAGGTCTGTTTATAAAAAAACAATTCACTTAGCTTATTCGTCCAGTGAAACTGCAGGTTTGTTCTGTGTGAGTAATGCATACAGAACAGAGAATGGAGACAATACCGCATTATGGCCACTAGATGGAGCTGAGGATGATAAATGAGGCATAAATACTTGATACTGATGAGATAGTGTTACAATACTAGAGACCACTGGAGGGAATGAGCTTATAGATGTAAAAAAAATGTAATACAGGGACACCAGTCAGTGGTTATTTGCGGTCATTTAAAGAGCAACTTCAGCCTTATGTTAAAAATGACAACAAAGGCACCTTTTAGAAATGTTAATAATGACAATCTACATACAAATACTTCTAGATAATTGCAGGTTTTTTACTCTTTGCATATTTTCCTTTACCTCCCCATTCTTCTCACGGTGGCCATTTTCACTAAGGGCAGATGAATCTATCTCGCTTTACTTTCTGGAACTCTGGGTCTGCAACATGGGACTATACACATCTAAAAAATGCCTTTCCCCCAATAGATATAGAGATTTAGCAGTTTACAGATGAGATTTCCCAGGAAGGCATTGGTGAAATAGCTTTCCCAGGATGCATCTGTAAGGCCAAAGCTACATCACCAGTGCCTCCAGTCAGCCAGGAAGTGGAAAAACAGTCATTGTAATAACAGCAAATGTTTTGTAACTAATGAATGTAAGATGATTTGATAACCTGCAGAGCTGCATGCTGATGTGATTCTTACTGAAATTGGGTAAAGGTCTGCTTTAAATTGTCACATTGTAACTCCTTATTACGAACATGTGTTTTCCTATCCTCCGCTCCATCTAGTGTCCATGATGTGGTATTTTTCCCCAATTACTACTGCGCATATTTGAAGAACAGAAGAGAAATGACACTAAGAACATTTGTTTTTACTCCATTCACACAGCAGCTGGTTAACTCGCACAGAACACATGTACATGCAGATTTGCTGTACAAATAAGCTGTGCAATTTCTTTTTCTAATTAACATCCCCCTTTGTGCTTTGTACAGTGAATTTGAATTTTATGGTTTGTTGTGCTGAGAGCATTGGTTTTAGGGCTGCAACAACTAATCGACATAATCGATTATAATCGATTATTGAAAAAGTTGTCAACTTTTTCAATAATCGATTAATCGGCTTCTGATCAGTTGGCCCTGTTCACGGCTCCACACACGCTGCGCGCCGCACCTCCTCCCCACCTCACGCTCGCCGCCGCCAATAATCGTTAGCTGCAGCTCTAATTGGTTTTACTTTCACAGACTTATAGCAATCGATAACTTGCTGAATAAAGTCTTTGCAGTGAAATTGCTAAACCATTTCATCCTTGCATGTAACTTTTGGTGTTTATACAGGGAGAGACGCATCTTGTGTTTCCCAAAAAGGCATCGGTTGAGAAATTGCGCAGGGTCCGAGACTGCATAGCATCAGAGAGGAACAAGAGGATGGCTGGGTCAGAGACAGCTGCGCCGGCTTCTCCAGCTTCACCAGCTTCTCCAGCTGCTCCAAGTACACAACAACCACCCAACCCCAGCCTGGCAAACAGACCCCAGCCCACAGCAGAGACTTCTTCCAACTACGCGGTAATGAGACATGTATACACATCTAAGTCTGGTTTATAACTACTATACTGGTTGATAAATGACAGTGTATATAATTACAGCTCGGCAGTTCTGGAGGTACATTTGTCCTATGGTGCTAAAGGAATGGTTTGCATAGCTCTGCCCACTTTCCTAATAAAAGGAACAACCCCTTTTTTTTGTTTGTTTTTGTTTTTATTTGTGATGTGATTGATACCTTCACTGTCACCATCTCCCCTTCTTCAGTCAGCCTTGCAATCTGTGGAAATCATAGTTTTTTTTTTCGGAATAGAGGATCAGGTACAGCGATCAACTTACTTTGATCAGTGTACTCCAGCAGCAACTGGAAATCTCAGTGGCAAACTTTCAGCACTGACAGGGGAGTGCGGGCTAATGAAAGTAAAGTATTTAGCTAACACTACCGTAGCCAGAGATGGGGCACACTTTTATTAGTGGTAATTTCATTTCACTCTGCGAATGTACAAAAAAAAATGTTTTGGCCATTGAATGAACAGGACAGCTGTTTAAGGACTACAACAGACTAGTATAGATGAACTCATTTACCACATTAAAGAAATACGAAGAATTCTAAAGACTAAACAGTGTCCTTCATGAAGTCACTTTATGGCAAACATTTTATTGAAAATAACAAAATACCCCCATAAAAACAAAACACACACTGAGACCCATAAATGAGATCTCTAAAATAAAAAAAGCATATATTTGGGTTGTTGGAAAAAAAATAATGAAATCTATGAGATGGCTGTAATTTTGTTTTGTGAATATTAGACATTGGTACAGCTATATGGGGGAAAAAAAAAATCTAAAAGTATACACAGTAATTTTGTATGTGGATATCTATAATTATATAGTTCTATCGATCATTAGGTGTATCTTTATGGGTACTCATAGGATATATTTACAAGAATGGGGACCCAAAATGCAACTCCCCCCAATGTTTAGACCCACAATTTATTTTTTAAATTTTTTGTGCAGTAACTCATCTGTTTTTTGAAAGCTTGCATGTATGTATGTATGTATATGTGTGTGTATGTGTGTGTGTGTGTGTATATATATATATATATATATATATATATATATATATATATATATATATATATATATATATATATATATATATATATATATATATATATATATATATATATATATATATATATATATATATATATATATAATCTCCCTAACGGGGACACGGAGGTTTTGGCTTCTGTTGCACTTTAACTACTCAAATGTCTAGCATCAAAAAGCTAACCGTACGCTGTGACAGGCACTACTTGGTCCCTGGAAAGTGATTTTATTTGGATGCACCCTTGAAATTGGCCATGTATTTTTTGTGTACTTCTCCCTTACCAAGCTATGTGCCAAACCAATACAGTCTTTATACTGACCAACGAGGCTCCCACTTTAGGTGTTTCTGTGTCCATAGTGTAGGCATTATGTATTTTGTATATGTCTGTTTACATCTGTGCATTTCCCACTCGGGAAACTGGTATTTCAAAAAGAAAAACTGAATCGCCCCAACTGCATCTTGGTGTGAATTTGTGTTCCTCTTCTAGTTTGCAATGAATTGTCTTGTCTAGAAATGTAAATGCATTCATTAAATGTCTTTTTTTTTTTTTTTTTCTTTTGTTAATCCTAGGCTTCCGAGATACGATTTTTGCAGACACTACAGTCAAATGCACAGCACGTGCTTGTTTACGAGCGACCTGAACTTCAGCAAAAAGCTCGAGACCAAATTCCTGTATCAGAACTACAAGCAAGAGCTCAAGAAAAACTGCTGCAAGCCCGAAGTCTCGACTCGGGTAATACATGTAAATTTTGCATACTAATATATCTATAAATAATTGGGTTGGGGAGGGCCAGATAAACTACCAAATATTTGGCGCATGGAAACCTGCTTTTTTTTGGATGCAACAAATAATCATTTGTCACTATTTTGCACAATATAGTTTTGCAGTAGTACACCAAGCGAATGAGGGTGCCAGACAGTTACACATTCTGCTATGCGCCAAATAAACTATATGCGCTGACATGTGATGTGACAATTCCTCAACAACCGCCATTTACTGTAGTTTATCTGGCCCAGGCAGTCTGTTTTGGTGTTTCTTACCATAAAACTGTGTTTAAGTGGAACTAAAGCCAAAGGATTCTAGGGCTGCAACCAACTAATCGATTATGAGAATAGTTGTCAACTAATCTCATTATCAATTAGGTGGTTGGATCCCCTAGCTCTCTCCTCCATGTTGGGAGGAGGGCACAGCAAGCAGTGGGCAGGTGCGATAGCAAGCCTGCTATTGGCTATTGCTATTTGAAATGGCGAATAGCAGGCTGGCCATTGCACCAGCCCCCTACCTGCTGTATATACATTCAACTGCCCTCTGCGGAATCTTGCCACTGGCAGCTGTCATTCCCTGGCTGAAGCTATTCAAGCGCCATGTGCTTACAATACAATTATTCCAAAAATATTAAAAAAGGTGGGAAAAGGTCATTTTTGGTTTCGGCCTGATAAATTCTGCTGTGGGAGGAGCGTTGCAGGTCCATTCATTTCAATGGCACCCGAAACGCACCTCCCACCCGCACTGGAATGCACGGTACTGAAATACCGTCTGTTCCAGTGCAGTGCGATTCCAAAAAATTGTGCATGCAGTTTTTTTTCTGACGTAAACTTTGTTTGTGACACTGTATTTGTGTATTTTATTTTAAATTAAGGATGTTATTTATTTTTTTAGTCCAATTATTAAAATAATCGGCCAACTAATCGATTATGAAAATAATCATTAGTTGCTGGCTGAAAAAGTTATTTTTACATTTGGGTAATAGAGTGGAGAGGGATTACAACAACTGTCAGGTTTTTATTGCTGTCTCTGTCCGTGTTAAGGAGAAGATTCTCCCGCTCTATTTGTCCTGGTGATCGTTATCACCGAAAATGAAAGAAAACACCAAATTTTGGTTATCATCAGAACAGAAATAGAGGGGAAACCTTCCATAGGGGACACTAGTTCTGTGGAAAACCAGGGATTTCTCTCACCTTGGTGTGATTTCCTGTTGTAGCTATCAGACAGGAAATTGAGGGAAATTTCCCCAATGGGACACAGAAGGCAAGAAAAACTTACAGGGGTTATAACAATCCCTTATTCTATCCAAAATGGGGGTAAAAAATGATTTGGCTTTAGTTCTACTTTAAAGGCATGTTGGTCTCCATAAACAAAATTTAAGAATGTTTTATTTGTAGAGTCCACCGTCAATGAAGATGATTTCCTCATGTTAGAATTATTACGCTGGTTTAAAGAAGACTTCTTCCATTGGGTCAACAGCCTGCCCTGTAGCCAATGTAATGGACAGACTGAGACTAAAGAGTCGCTCTCCCCGAGCACAGATGATCTTCGGTGGGGGGCAACAAGGGTGGAAAATCATTACTGTACCAAGTGTAATCACATCAACAGGTTTCCTAGGTGAGGTTTACAGCTCTTGTGTAAGATACATCCATCTACAATGCAGCTGTCACTTCTATTATGTAGCTGTAGTTACCATGTAGTTTCCTTTCTTCCAATACACTTGTTTCTGGTGCAGGGATGCTGGGGTCTTCAATGTGAGGCATCCTGTGCAGAAAAAAGTGAAGGATCTGAATATTTAACGCTTAATCCTTAAAATCATTCTTAACCCTTTCCCCCCAACACTACATACTTATCCTTTAAAGAGACACGGTCATTTTTCCCTTGCCCGGAAAGTTAAGGGTATGCTTTTGAACTTGTAAGTTAGGGTTGGGTGGTTTAGGGGTGTAAGAACAGGATAAAGATGCACTGCCTCCTTCACCATTAAGGGTAAACTGACTGGATGTGTGTAAAGTCCACCCCATGACCACCTTTATACGCCCCTCTCCTGCACTGCCCCATTGCTTCTTCCTCCGTCACAGCTGTCGCCAAATTGCCTATTGTTGACTGGTGTCAGAGTGCACAGGGAGCAGTCAAATCACTGCTTCTTTTGTGATAGTTAGATTTGCTGCTAGGCTCAAGCAATGCGTCAAGGGAAGAGGTCATGTACTCACCCACTCCTGGAAGCACTTGGTTCTTTTGTAGTAGTGGCCGCAGGGGAGAGAATGGTGGTAGAGCGCTTAAGAGGTAAAACGTGGTTAGGACATGGGCAAGGTGACCGTGTCTCTTTTGATCTGTTCCTTCATATTTATCACTTAGGCCTCGTTCACACTGAGCGTATTGTCACAGTGGATTCCGCCTGACCAAAAAAATCCCATTCATTCATATGGCCCTTGTGTACACCTAAGCTTTTTGTCCCAATAAGTACAAGTTTCTATTTGGCAGATCTCGGCTCGTTTTTGGCCCCATGCACTCAATAGGAAACGCACATTGCAATGAGTTTTGCTTCATTGTCTCACAATCTGCTCCTAAAAATGTGCGCAATTAATGTATATGCGTGTAAAAACACACACAAACAAATGCGTCTTTACTCGCAAAAACGGTATTGCTTAGGTGTGAATCCAGCCTTACATCTCAGAGACTATCCACACCCTCCACAGATTTATACCTACTGGGAACCCGGCACCTGTGATCTCCGGGGGGTTGTTTACATCCCTTGCTGAACTTCTATCAGTACCTGCATACCTGTAAGTTTAGAGGTCGGGAGACAGAAGTAGACGAGCCCAATAAAGTTTATGGGGTTCTACTACCGAGGCTCGGCAGGCAGTGGGAGGAATTCGGCATGGGATATAAACAATTCCCAGAGGCCACGGGTGCCAGGTGTGTATAAATCTTCAGAAGGGGTGGGCTCTGTGGTGATAGTGGAGAGGGCAGAAAGAATAAGTGCACCTTAGTCTAAAATGACTCTAACCCCTATACTAAACCGTAACACTAATTAACCCCTGTTTACTGCATGCTCAGTTCATACTGCACTGTGAACCCCTGAACTGATACGATGTATGTTCAGTGCTAAGATACTGGTGCCAGAAGATGCTGCTTTTTAAGTTTTTTTTTTTTTTTTTTAAATAGATCTGCTAATAATGCATTTCTCCTATTTAGATACAATAACCCAGAGAAGCTCTTGGAGACCCGGCGGGGTCGCTGTGGAGAGTGGGCCAACTGCTTCACACTGTGCTGCAGGGCAATGGAGCTAGAAGCAAGATATGTATGGGACACTACAGGTGAGTGCTGGTTTTACAAAGCCATTCATTTCTTAGTACTGTTATTGTTACATAGTATGGTGTAAAGGAAAACAAAAATCAGTAGTTCCAAAGAATTTGTAGCATATCAGTAGAGTAAACCGGTTGATATTTACAATTTCTGAATACTTTGCCATAGACACACATCACTGCAGGTCCTGCAGTTGTTTGCACGGGGACAATGGGTATTGCAAAGCGCTGCGCAAACTGTTGGCGCTATATAAATACTATGTAATAATATTAAGGGAAGTTCCCGGGTACATAGTATATTTTGCTTCTTTTTGGAAATCCCTTTTTAGCAGTGTTTTAGGTGCATCTTACATGAGGTGTGTTCATACCTTGACGTATTTTGGGTGCATGCACTTTTATTTTGTAATGTTTGCCACTCTTTGTGCATTGACAACAATCTAAAGTAAATCCAGTGGAATAATACAGTAAATGCATTCTTTTCAAATCCTGCAGATCATGTCTGGACTGAGGTGTTCTCTACATCTCAAAACAAATGGCTCCATTGTGACCCATGTGAAAATGCTTGTGATAAGCCTCTGTTGTATGAGGTGGGATGGGGAAAGAAGCTGTCCTACATCATTGCATTCTCCAAAGATGAGGTTTGTACAGCAGTATTTGTTGCCATGGTTACAGATGGTGGACCTGCAATCCTTATGGCCCTGTCACCCCAATTTCCTTGCCAGCCGTATTGCATTCCTGTGCTTTATTTTACCCTCAGTGTGGGGAGACATGTTCTTGACACTTTACAATTGTAGTGGTTAATCTGCCATTTAAATTATTAATCCTGTTTACTGTAACTGCAGATGCCATTATTGTAGAGAGGCATTTAATCTACGTGTAAATCTACTGGGAAGGAAACACCACCATTAAAACTTGGACATCAAGGGCTTTTGATATGTTTAAAAAAAATTCCATAAATGTGGGATAGCTTTTGAACACATTGATGGCTTATTTATTTTTTTAAATCTGATTATGTTGCTGTTGGAGATTTCTCCTCCCTTCCTGACAAAGGTTTTCATCCTTCCTCACTATCAAAAACTGGGTGGACATACACTTAAATAATGCTTAGATGTTACAAGAATTTAAAGTGGATCTAAATCCAAAACGAAAAATGAAATGCATAGCAGCTTACTAGTTCAGATGTGGTGGTTGCTTCAGTTTACTTTCAGGCTTTCCCCCCCTTTTTGTTTTCACCTGGAAGTCCTGCAAATAACATACTTCCCATCTCTGATTGCCTACACATTTCTGCATGGTATCTATGGCAGGAGCCATGGTTGTCTCCCAGGCTGTACATGTCTACCTTTGCTTATTTCCAATACATTGGGACTGATGTGTTTACACAAGAAGAATATCATTGTTTATGCTGTCTTTACAGCTCACATTAACCCCTTCATGACTGAGCTAGTTTTCAGTTTCTGTTCAAAAATGACTGACACACTTTTTACATTTTTGCTGTGTGATTCTTCCACAGCAGTAATATACCAAGGTTGTGGAAATTTTTGAAAAAACGACTTGTCCAAGGGCTAAAGCGGGGGTCAAATCTACTTGTCCTTCATGACAATCTACTTGTCCCAATACAACTAAAAAAAGTTTTAAAAGTTACTGATACAATATATCTCTTTTAAATTAAATGTATCTCTTTAGTGATATGTATCTAAACATCGGGCTTTCGAGCTGTCAAAACAAATAGCAGAGAGGTGAGTCACTGCTACCTCTCTGCTATTTTCAGCTGTCAAATATGGGATTGCCAATAGCGGTCCTGTATTTGTATGTAACAGCTTCATTCATTAATGAAAGGAAGAAGCTTTTACAAAAAGCTTAATTATTTCATTAATGAATGCCTCAATACTGAGGCATTCATGAAACATGAAGGGGTTAATGACTGGTAACCGCTGAGAATCAGCAGTTACCGGCATTACAGAGCCTGATATAACTCGTCACGTATAGTCATATAGGCACTTTGTGACGGGACGTACAGCGTACGTCTCCCGTCACAAAGGGTTTAAGAGACGAGGACACTGCGTTTCTGGCAAGATCAGATATTTTCTGTACTTGCTAAAAATGTTCTCAGCCTGAAAAAAGGAATATCTGAGGCCACTACATCTGAGAACTATTAAGCTGTAATATATTCCATTTTTGTTTGGATACGCTTTAAATTATGGCAACTTGTTTGTAGAATTGGGTGCTCCCAAAAACGTTTTCTTTTTAATTTATTTTTTTAACTGATGCTGGACTGTTGTATACAATGGTTATAAATTAAATATATCCAAGTACACTTACCAAATTTCACACATGTATGCCTTTGAAGTAAACTTGTGAGAAACATTAAGACCCTGTTCACATAACAAATCCAAATGTCACCAGCACTCCAATGTGAAGATTCACGTCAGTGTAAATCCTTTTAATTGATAGATGTTCGAAAAAACGTCTTTTCTAAAATCTGTCAATTAAATGGATTAAATCTAAGCTTACAATCTACGGTCCCTATCTCACATGCATACAAAGAGGGACAACTTAGAGGAGCCAATTAACCTACCTGCATGTCTGTGGAGTGTGGGAGGAAACAAGAGTACCCGGAGGAAACCCACGCACGCACAGGGAGAACATGCAAACTCTTTGCAGATAGTGACCCTGGCCGGGATTCGAACCCGGGACCAGCAAGGCAGAAGCGCTAACAACTACGCCACTGTGCTGCTCATATATTGCAATGCAGGCGTGTTATGTGTTTTATCAACAATCATGCATTGCCAGTGTCTTCAATATGCCCTATAACATGCATCGCACAGATATGATCTAGTACCATTTCAAACAAAGTGTGCATGCGTTAAAACACATTTGTGTAAATGGGCACTTTATGTCCATCTAGTGCTGCTGAGTTATGGTAACCCTTTGGATAGTTGCCCTATTGTGGCCATCCCATCTATTTTCTTTGTACAGTATGACTGTAGATTGCTGGGCATTTCTTCCAGAAAATGAATGTGAAACTAGGACCAATTTAGTGGCCACTAACTTACCGATCTGACTTGTCAAAGTTAACCAGGGCACGAAGAGCACACAAATTCCAGCATGTCTGCCTGGATAACCACTTAACCACTGAAGAAATGTCTACATATGATCGTTTTATTAATGACGTGGAGAATTGTAAGCAATTTGTGCTCAGATACATAAAACAGTCTTAAGAGGTGCTCTGTAAACATTGCAGGTGGTTGATGTGACTTGGAGGTATTCGTGCAAACATGAAGAAGTCCTCTTGCGGAGGAAAGAGGTTCGAGAAAGCTGGCTACGGGAAACCATTACTGCTCTCAACAAGACGGTAATCATTGGAAAAAAAAAACTGTCTGGTTGTTTACTATAAGTATTCATAGCTCAGTCTGAACAAGTTAATTATTGCAGTCAAATTGGTCATCACAGAACATTGATTAGTAGAAGAGGCATTCAATCCTCGTTCTAAAAGCACATTCTCTATTTACATGCATTTAATATTTTTAGTAATACAGAAATTATTCATGCACTGGATTTTGTAAAAGGTTTAAATTTCCTTTCTTATAATAATAATAATAATAATAACCCCCCCTTTTTTCACAGGCACAGCGCTTCTCCCTACCTTCCCATCGGGGAACACAAATTCTCCCTCTGACTAAATGACTAAACTCCATTTCATACAGAAACTACACCTCCCCTCTATGTAATGGAGCAAAGGAAAAGGGAAGATGTTTGTAGTCCTGTCCTCAGGTGACAATGCTGCTCTTTCATAAATACAGTACAGTGAGTGAGCATTGTCACCCGAGGACAGGAAGTGTGTATCAGGCAGAATCAACAGCGTAAAAGGAAAACGAGTGCAGCCAACACATCCAGGGACCTGTAATCTGCAATAGAACTATAATATTAGGGTTTGATACGCTTTAAAAAACTTTAGCCAATTTTTATTTTTAGGGCATAAAGTTTTTGGGGATTTTTTTAGGTTTTTGTTTTTCTTTAGAGACATGTTAGAAGCCAGTTTTTTTAGTGCTGTTTGTTGCCCCATCGGAGTGATTTTCCTGACTTGTAGTCACCGAGACAGGAAGCAAATGGAGATCACGTCAGCGGAAACATAGACAGCAATACAAAAAGGCAAAGTTTCCAAACTCCCTAACTCTGACTGACAAAAAAGTTTGACCTGAAGTTGGGCTTTAACAACCAGGGAACCAGGGAATTGTGTAAATATTCTATTCCAATCTGAACCTTTTCAGATTGTAAGCTCTCATGAGCACAGCCCTCCTAAACCTTTTGTCTTGTGAATTATAACTGTACTGACTCCCTTTTATGATGTAAAGCGCTGCACAAACTGTGGGCTCTATAAGTTGATTTAAAGATCATGTTGCTTAAAATGAGCTTAGTGCAATAAATATAGCCAATTAAAGATGAACTCCAGGCAAATAGCTATACAGGTAAAACTCGAATAATTAGAATATCGTGCAAAAGTAATTGCAGTAAGTGCTGCAAAAGGGGCCCAAACCAAGTACTGAGTACATATGCATGCTTGTACTTTTCAGAGGTCCGATATTGTTCTATGTACAATCCTTGTTTTATTGATTGCATGTAATAATTTACTTTTTTGAGGTTGTGGATTTGGGGTTCTTGGGGTTTTCATGAGCTGTGCGCCATAATCATCACAATTATGACAAATCACGGCTTGAACTATCTTGCTTTGCATGTAATGAGTATATCTCATATATTAGTTTTACCTTTTAAGTTGCATTAGTGAAATAAATGAACTTTGCACGATATTCTAATTATTCAAGTTTCACCTGTATATGTAGCCTGAATACAAACATATGAACTGCTTGTGATCCATAGGGAGTAAGTCACCAGCATTCCAAAATCTTCACCAAAACACTTTTTTTGGCGTTGGTCGATCACGAAGTCACAGGGAAAAAAAGCAACGTTTTGGGCACCACATGGGACCATTGCCTGATGGAAGTGACTCGGCGTGGTCCCCATATGCTGCTTTTTTTGCCTATGATTTTATGACCAACATTGGTGAGGGCGTTTTGTTGAAGATTTTTGTGTGCTGATGACTTAATTCTGTTATAGTCGGCGGTGCCATCCACTTGTCACTACAGTACACACCAAAGACACCAGGGATATACCGGTTAGGTGTGTAATGGGATATCTGCAAAGAGTCTCCTCCTGGAAAGCAGCACAGCCGGGTGTGTAACCACATAGAAGATTACTTTCAGTTGAGCTGTAAAGCTTGAGCCAAGCATCTTCCCAGACTGTGAACAATCAGCAGCATATCACTCTGTTCTTCCCTCCTGTAAACATGGTGACAGTGTGAGACTGATAGCGCTGCACATGTGCTACTTAGAAGAGCCCTAATTGGCTCAGTGTACTGCCCCTTCCTCTCCCAGTCTTAACGCAGTTGTACAGGGAATTACAAAAGAACGCTATTAAGATGGAGTCAGGTATTTGCTAGTTTGTATGTAAAAATTAATTGAGGTGAATTTATCAAAACTGGAGCAGGCAAAAACAGTCACTGCTGCTCTCCTCTCTATTTGCAGGGTGACTGGTCTCGTATCCAACCCCC